AGTGGGGGTGGCTTAAGACGTAGCAAAGGTATGGTCAATTTGCATGTTTGTCTTTTATTAGTGTAGATGGGGGTTTCCCCCTTGAAAGCCTGGCGTCTTAGGGTCACTGGCTGCCAGGAGGCACTTGGCTATTTCCTGAGATTCTTTCTGTTCTTGACTACGACAGAGAATGGTGACTTCTTGGCCCTGGATCTTGGAGGAACGAATTTCCGCGTCCTGCTGGTGAAAATCCGTAGTGGGAAAAAGAGGACGGTGGAGATGCACAACAAGATCTATGCCATTCCCATCGAAATCATGCAGGGCACTGGGGAGGAGGTGAGGCGGTTTTGCTTTCTACACCACATGGTGTGTATGTGTCACACAGCCGGTGGCAGTGGTGGTCCCCAACACCTGCCATGTGATTTCTGCAGCCGGGCAGGTGTCCTTGTGGCCCCAAAGCAGCAGGCACTTTCAGCCACGCTGGGCTTACGATGCTCAGGGGATCCCGGAAAGGGGGGCATGCTCTGATGTGTCAGGGTGAATGTCTGTGTGTGTGCGTCCATGTACATTTATACGAGTGCATTGAAAGTATGAAACCAGAGAACACACATGTGATCCGCTCTTTCCTCCTCAAGCTGTTTGACCACATCGTCTCCTGCATCTCCGACTTCCTGGACTACATGGGGATCAAAGGCCCCCGAATGCCTCTGGGCTTCACCTTCTCGTTTCCTTGCAAGCAGATGAGCTTGGATGCGGTGAGTCAGGCACGGGGCAGCGCTGACCGTCCGGTGGCCAGTGCGAGCTGGCTCTGGGGGCCTCCTCCGGCCTCACTGTCATTCCTCAATGTCCGCATGGCCCCGATGGCACAGTCGGTGGGTGACCAGGCTTTATGCCACACCATCCAGGACATCTTCAGACTCTTATCATTTAAAGCATTTACCTCCGTGAGGAAGTATTTTGTCCTTCAGACAACAAGAACCGCACCCTCCTCCTTGTTCCCTGTTCCTCCTAGTGTTGTCCGACTGTAGCACTTCCTACACTTATTAGTGTTTGTCTTTCTGCTGTGTTTATGCTTCTTGAGTGCGGACCTCTGTTTCCCACATGCCTAGCACAGAGCTCTCAGGAGAAATACTTGATGAATATTCAGTAAGTGGGATGGAAAGGGGTTTAGGCCACCGACTGCTTGGGTCAGTGCTGAGCACCTGCTGAGTACGAATGACTGGGTGGAGCTGAAGAGCACAGCGTCTGTCCTCAGGGAGCCTGCAGTCCCGAGGAGCTGGCCTCCCAGAGCCCAGCACTGTGCTAGGGGCGGTCAGTAGGTTGGCCATGTTCTGTGCAGAGGGAACCTATTTTGCAGCGTCACGGAGGCAAGACCAAGCCTGCCTTGCAGAAGGAGCCACAGTGCCTCTGTGTGTCACAGGTGATGCGTGGCCAGGGTGGAGGCCCTGGAGGGGACCTTACATCACTCTTGGCCTTGGGTCAGGCTTTGAAGCGTCTGGTTGGCAGAACCAGGGAAACTGGGTCGGGCACCTGCCTCTGGGAGCCAGTTAATGCAGTGACAGTGCTGACTTGGGGTTTTTCTCCTCTTAGGGCCTGTTAGGTGTCAGCAGTTGGATCCGTATAAGCTTGTTTTTTGCAGTTCACTTACACACCCACCAGCTGCATCGCTGCAGTCCAATCAGTTTTACTTTAGGTAGTAATAGTGCTACTAAAAATGTGCTTTTCTTCACTTAGGTTGTTGGCAGACTGTTCTTCAGGGGAACTAGTTGGTTAACATTCTATGCCTCAGTTTCTCCATCTGTGAAATGGGGATTGTAAATGGACCACTGTGAGGATGGTGAGGAGGAGTCGGACCTGTGGAGGACTATTAGTATTTTATTGGTTTATGCCTCCATTTTTCCAGCATAGTCTCGCTGTACATTCTCAGCAGATGTTTACTCAGGAAGGAATGGGGTTTTGTGCTGTAAATTCTCAGCACATAGTGACTCAGGAAGGAAAGGAATTGTGTGTTCTGCCCATAGAGTCTGATTTCACAGACTCTCCCTGTGCCTTTCCTGTTTCAGGGAATCTTGATAACCTGGACGAAGGGGTTTAAGGCAACCGACTGTGTGGGGCACGACGTAGCCACCTTACTGCGGGAAGCAGTAAAAAGGAGAGAGGTAACTATTACAAAGATGTTTTCAAACATTTTTACTGTGCTTTTGGGTTATAAGAATCCTACTTGCTGATCATACAACCCAGAGGCACATGACCTGGGTAGAAGGTTCCCCCAACAGTCGGCAGTAAAACAGAGGTGAAGAGTTTTGAGCTGTTAAAGGATAGTTTGCTTAAAAAGGTAAAATCACAACTCTCCTACAAAGAGCCTGGCACTACTGTCAGACCTGGTGTCCTCTGTTGGACACAACAGTCTCACAGAACACAAACATCATCGCAGCCACTGGTGACCGCCGTGGGACCGGGCAGCATGGGCGTGTAGCTCCATCACGGCAAGCTCAGCGCACATGCAAAGAACTGCCCTGCTTCCCCCACAGCATCCAACCCAGACCAAAGCCCCCTTCTCTGACCCCTCCCTGAAGCCATCCACCGACGCTCAAATCCCAGAAGAAGGGCTAACACGCTGAGACGCCCCACGGACGGTGTTCTCCCGGGTCGCCACCAGCCAGGAGTCTAGCTCTGTTCCACTACAGCTGTGTTCCTGTTGGCCTCTGGCCGGAGAACATTGACACAATAGAAAATGAAAAATTCCAGAGGTTTTATTTAACTCGTTAATTAATCAGGGAATCAGTAAGGTGTTAAAAAACACACACACCAGTTTAAACATGTACAGCTTAAAAGAGCAGACAAATAAATACCTAGATGACCAGGAAGACTGGAGTGAATAGGTTTGAAGGAGGGATCGGTTGCACCTGAAGGGTATGCTAGCCAGCAGCTGGTATGTCATTGAAAAGAAACCCAATGATCTATTTTTGCCCATTTCACAACTCAATATTAGTGTTCCCCCAACTTACGTTCCATGCATATACCAACACACATTTTTTTAAAGTTGAAATCACACCATATAGGCTATATAACAAGTTGCTTTTCTAAATTTAACAGGAAGCAGGCATCTTTTCATGTCACTAATTTTGCCCTCTGAAAGGCTATAAGGCTTTAAACTCCAAGAGCAAGAGCTTTTGGGCGAAGTCTCTGGCAGCCTTTTATCCGTTCAACAATTCCCCCTAGGCCGCCTCTCTAATAATACTTCCTTTCTGTAGATCTTAAACTGTAGCTACATCGTTAATAGGAGGCGTTTAGTCAGTGAAGGAGCATTTGAGTGCCTTGTATGGGCTGGCGAGAACACTGTTCCAGGTGATGCCCCCGGAGCGTTCGGACTGTGGCGCAGCCCAGTGAGCCTGGGAACTCCGGCCAGGCAGGGCGTCCCTCCCTAAAGCTCACGCCCTGTCCGTTTCCCTCCCCAGGAATTTGATCTGGACGTGGTGGCTGTGGTCAACGACACGGTGGGCACCATGATGACTTGTGCTTATGAGGAGCCCACCTGTGAGATTGGACTCATCGTAGGTGGGTGTCCCGGAAGGTCGGTCTCCTCGGGGCAGGGAAGGCTGGGTTTTCCTGTTCAGTGAGGCCTTGAACCGCAGCTCAGCCCTCTGTGGGAGACAGCACCTGTCAGCCCTGTCCCCTTACCACCTCCAGAGTTGTATCCTTGACCGAGGCTACAGAGCCCTGCAGGGCTCCCTCCCCAGCACCTACCACGTTGATAGTGACCAGACGGTCAAGAGCAGAGCTTTCCAGGGATGAGGCCTCACGTGGCTCACGTGGCCGGGAGCATGGTGGGGGAGCACGGGGTGGGAGCACGGGAGCTGGTATCGAGAAGCTCCAGGCAGGTGTTGCCAGCCTGTGGCTGGGAAGGAAGAGGCGGGCTCCTCAGGCCTGACCCTGGGAAAGAGCTGGAGAGAAGTCTTGGGTGCCAGCAGCCCCTGTTTGTGAGCAGTGCCAGCCCCTGAAGCGGGTTGAGAAGGGTCATCTGCTGGCTTTGCAGGTTGTCTCCTTATAGCCCAAGCACATTAGGGGCTTGGGCCTCAAGAGCACTGGTTCCGGGAGCATACTGACCTGGGCTGTGGGAAAACCACTTGTCTAATTGGACCTGCTCCTGGTGTCGGGGTGCTGGGACAGAACCCTGTTTCTTAGGTGCAGCTGGCTGCGTGGGCCTTTCACTGAGTGCGGGGATAAAGCTGGGATAAAGCCCAGCCGGCCAGCGGCCCTGTGGAGCCAGGAAGGCCTTTTTATTGGCTAAACCACTCTGGCTCCTACGGAAAATCAAAGAAGGAGGGAGCAGCTCCAGGTGAAAGTTCTGGGGCCTGGCTTTGGGGCTCATTTGTTGTTTCTTCCTTTCCTTTGCAAAGCTCTCTCCACCCAACCCCTCCCTCTCTTCTCTTTATGAATGGACTTGGGTGTGAAATGCAAAGCCAGAGTGACATAGCACATTCTCCACTTCCTGGTCAGGCCTCACCTTCCTGCCTGGGTGTCAGCCCAGTTAGCTGTTCCTGGCACGATAGGCGGGCGGGGTGGGGGTGGGGGTTCTCCACAGCTCCAGCTGCCTGCAAAGCCACATTTTATTTCCCTGCTCATCCATCTCTCTGCTCAGAACTCCCAGGGGCAGAAAGTATGATTTTCATGCTCTGGTTTTCTTTGCACCCACTTCCATTTCTCAGTTTTACATTTTAGGTGAAAGGAAGCGGAGAAAACAAAAATAACCCCGTTACACAGCCAGAGGCTTGTGAATTCTGCTTCAGCTTCTTTAACGGGTTTGGCAACGACCAAAGCCCTTTTGGCCTAGCCCAGTGGTCGGCAAACTGCGGCTTGTGAGCCACGTGCAGCTCTTTGGCCCCTTGAATGTGGCTCTTCCCAAGCCTTAGGAGTACCCTAATTAAGTTAATAACAGTGTACCTACCTGTATAGTTTAAGTTTAAAAAATTTGGCTCTCAAAAGAAATTTCAGTCGTCGTACTGTTGATAATTGTCTCTGTGGACTAATGAGTTTGCCAACCAGTGGCCTAGCCAGTGGGGATGCCCTTCCGTTCCCTCATGTGGACAGTCCGTCTGTGTCTGCATTCTGCCTGGTTGATGGTCCGCCAGGGCCTTGCTACTGAAAGTGTGGTCCCTGGGCCAGCAGCCTCGGCACCACCTGCGGGGGTGTCAGAAATTCGGAGTCTCAGGCCCCACCCCAGACCTGAATCGAAATCTGCATCCTCACTAGCAGGCTTTCCAGGCGATTCAGGAGCATATTTAACATGTCTTCACTTGGTTAGTTGGTTGGGTTTTGTTTGTTTCATCCTCACCCGAGGACATGCGTGGAGAGAGGAAGGGAGAGCGAGAGAAAAATAAACATCGGTCCATTGTCTTCCGTGTGCACCCCAGTCAGGGCTTGAACCAAATCCCAGGGTTGTGTCCTGCCTGGGAATCAAACCGGCAACCTTTCGGTGCAAAGGACGATGCTCAACCAGCTGAGCCAGCCCAGTGGGTTGGTTTGTAAATTTCCAGTCCATTCACTGAGACAAAGCCAGTGACCACAAGCTTGGATATCGTGGCAATTAAAACTCTGTGAAAGTTTTCAATGACTTCCTCTCAAGTTCTCTACGTAACTCCTCATGGATGAGAACAGCAAACAGTTCGTGTCCCACTGGGTGCTTGGGGGGCCACAGTCTGAGTCGCCTGCTCTGGGGCAGTTCAGGGATGGATATCCGAGGCTCCTGAGCCCCTGGAATCTTTAGGTCATATCGTGTGTGTCCAGTGTGTGGTGCACCCTGGGACAAGGTCCTCAGGACAATCATCAGGTTTTCAAAAAGGTCTGTGATGCCAAAATGTGAGGAATCAGCACGTTAGAAAGACACCTTGAAATGCTCAGGACTGTGCCCTTCGGTGCCTCACTGTGGGCTTCATTCTGGAACACGTAGGGGAGGTGACTGAGCAGCCGTGGTCCGTGACCATCCTTGATAAGAAAAGATAAGTGGCCCTGGCCGATTTGGCTCTGGATAGAGCATTGGTCTTCTGGTTGAAGGGTCCTGGGTTCCATTCTGGTCAAGGACACGTACCTCGGTTGTAGGCTCAATCCTGGCCGGGTCAGAGCACGTGCGGGAGGTAACCAGTCAATGTGTCTCTCTCGCGTTGATGTTTCTCTTTCTTTCTGCCTCTTCCCCTTCCTTCCACTCTCTCTAAAAGTCTATGGGAAAATATCCTCGGATGAGGATTAACAACAAAACAGCAAAAGAAGAAAAGATAAGTGGACATCTAGGGTATAATAGTAGGCAACCCCCTAATATTGTGTGTGCGTGTGCGTGCGTGCGTGTGTGTGTGTGTGTGTGTGTGTGTGTGTAAAAAGAGGAAGAGGGAGCAGGAGTGGGAGAGAGAAATATCCTTCCATTCTAAATGAAGCCTAAATGCCCACCATTGAAGATACATCCCTTTATTGTATCCCTTCATCTTCTATTAAAATGAATACAGTCCTGCCTGGGCAGGAAACAGAGGCGGCTCTTGGCATCGGTGTCCTCATACAAAGCGAGTTGATCAAATGCTCTCTGGGCAGCTTAGATCTGACTCTCCTTTTATATTTTGAGATTTTTCTTGAAAACTTTGGGAAAGTGACGCTGTTACTTTGCTCATCTCAAAAGCTCACTCCTATCTGGAACCCCAGGCCAATGACCTCCCCCTCGTGTGTTGCAGGGACTGGCAGCAATGCCTGCTACATGGAAGAGATGAAGAACGTGGAGATGCTGGAGGGGAACGTGGGGCGGATGTGTATCAACATGGAGTGGGGCGCTTTCGGGGACAACGGGTGTCTGGATGATATCAGAACAGAGTATGACGTCCTGGTGGATGAAAACTCTCTGAATGCTGGGAAACAGAGGTAATTCTGCTTGTTGGAGGAGACGCATAAGGGGGTCGGGACAGGGAGAACGTTCTGCCTGTTACAGTCAAAGGTGCTTCTAGGAAGAGTGGGGTCTACGCAGAGGCTTGGAGACCGGTCCCTCCCTCGGGTGTCCTCCTGACCTTGGCTTTTGGCCCAAGGAGAGCAGGAACGGGGGATGGGCCCCCAACATGGGACAAGAGGGCCCTGGTTGATGTCCTCTCCAGGTGCCGCTTCCCACTAGTGACCGTGTTCATCCTGGAGCATCCTGGCCTCCCTCTTGGTCAGTAGGTTTTGTCTTGTTTAGTGGAAGTAGAGCACACTTGACCTACAGCTGTCAAAGGGCAAGGGAAATTCAGACCTGCCAGTGGGGGTGGGGGTGGGGTGGAGT